TAAATGTTGGTCCTTTAAAATACACTGATGTTGTTCTTCAATTGGTCGATGGATCTTTGGTACATCCCAAAGGTGTGCTAGAGAACATTTTGATTAAAGTGCAACATTTGATTTTTCCTATTGATATTTTTGTTATGGAAATGGAAGGAGAAATTACAAAGGATCAATGCCCTCTTTTATTAGGAAGGCCTTTCCTAAGGACTTCTCACACCAAAATCGATGTTTTTGATGGCTCATTGACGATGGAGTTTGATGGTGATGTAATTCATCCCAAACTTTCATCAAATTTATCTTTGAAAACTAATGATTTTGTTTGTGTAGTGGAAAAGTGGGTAAAGAAAGAGTTAGGTACAACATCTTCAACCATGACAAATGAACAACTTTCAAAGGGGAGGCAAAGGATTACAATTTTTCGACAACGCAAGGATAAGAATTTCCACCTAGCTTGGGAGAGATTCAAGACACTTTGTGTTGATTGCCCTCAACATGGCATTTCACAACAAGTTTTGATCGAGTGCTTCTATCAAGGATTAGAAGTCGATGATCAACTTCTTGTGGATAGCATCAACAACATACCCTTATTCGATAGGACTGTGAAGGACGCATATGAAGTATTGGAAGCGTTGACTCAAGCAATTGCACCTCCAAGTTGGATCAAGAAGAAAAACAAAGAGAAGCTTGGAGAAAGAGGCAAAATTTCCAACAACACGCGTGAAGATATCAACAAGGAATTGAAGGAAGCTCGAGAGAAGTTACTCAAAATTGATGGAGCCATAATTGAACTTTTCAAAGTCATGAGTGACACTCTCAACATCACCGTGGAACTTTTGAAGGAGCACACTCAACGTTCCTTCACCAAAGGAGAATAGTCCACGAGGATGTCTAGCCAAAGACATTAAATGAAGGCGCTAATTGGGAGGCAACCCAATATAGTAACATCTATCCTTTTCTTTTGAATTTTCTTTTTCTTAGTTATAGGTCATTTTGCATTTTCAACTCAAGGGAATCGATCGAGCAATGAAGACAAGGAAAGGAAGCACACATCAAGAGTATCGGAGCTTACACTTTGCAAAAAAAGAGAAGCTTTCTTGAACTTTAATCTCATTTAATTATGTTTGATTGATGATTGATGCATATCAATTAATTTTCTTGAATTGAATGTTTTTCCATGCATATTATCATTGTATAATTATCTCATGCATCTCATACATATAGACTCTTAAGTGATAAGAACATAAGGTCAATCTTTTGATGGTTATCAAGTGGAATTTTTGGTGAAAATCAAGTGTTTTTGGATTGAAGAAATATTTGGAATTGAGTTTGGTAGCAAAAAATTGAAATTTGGAAGCAAAGGGACCAAGCCCGATCCCAGCTGGGCTCCCATGCCGCAAGCCTGGGCACCCAGCTGGAAAGCCTTAGCACCCAGCCGCAAGGGCCTGTGCTGGAGGCCGACTCAAGGTGGGCGCCCAGGTGCTTTGCCTGAGCACCCATGTGCCGCTGACAGCACCCATGCCATGCCGATGTCACCCAACTCACTACACCCATCACCCATCGCAAATTACTATAAATACCACCCAACACCCACTTCAAATCCTTCAACACCCATCTTCATCCAAAACCCACTTAATTTTCGACTCTCTTGCCTACATTCACATATTCACTCACTTTAATTTTCAAATTTTACTACTTCATCTCTTACAAATTATTTCTTTCATCTTTTTATCACCTTAAACACTTACCCATTTGAACATTCAACACTTTTTCCATCAAATCCATCAATTTTTCAAATTATCATGTTTTGGGAAAGTGGTTGTTTTCTTTGGATTCTTGTTTGGAGTGATTAGAAAGGAGATAAGAGATAGTTTGGAAGTTGATTGGAGCATTTTAGAGCATTGGGGAGTGCTACATTGGATTTTAAAGAAAGATTTTTCAAGAAACCCTACAAGGTAACTTAGTGCCCACCAAGTGTTCGAAAAAATGTCGAGAAGAGTGAGAGCAAGAGCATCAACATCTCAAGCCGCACCTATTGAGGAGGAAACCACCATACAACCTTACATTAGTGTGCCGCCACCCATATTTGTTGATAATGAATGTCAAGAGTGGTATGAAGCAAGGTATAACAACTCTTTCATTATAGAAAAAGTGCTTCCAGCTAACATTGATCAAGAACTTGGAGTTAGCCAATTGTTTGTCAATAGAGGTTGGGGATCACTTCTTCAAGTAGATGGATACTACTATCCCAATTTAGTGAAACAATTTTATGCCAACATAGACAAGGAGCGTGATGGTTATTCTTACACCATCAACACAATGGTTAAAGATAAGTACATTGTAGTTGATGAGGAATATCTATGCCGCTTACTTGATTTGAACAATGAGGGTAGTCATACTTATGTTAATGGAGAGCAAAGGACCGCCACCAAGAGCACATGGAAAAGGGATGGTGCTTTGAGGAGGTTTGACATTCCTCTTGGTATGGATAACCAAGGGAGTAGAGAGGTAAGAGTCAAGTATATGGAACCAAGGGATAGACTTGTGTGTTACTTATTGCATCATAATGTCATTCCTAGGAGTAGTAACAAGCATAAGCTTCGCATTGAAGACTTCTATGTGGTAGACAAGCTTTGCCATGGATTAGGTCATTGTAATGGAATACCAATGGCTAGGTTGTTACTCTCAAGGATGTGGGAGTAGTTCACTCTTCACATGAAGATAAGGCATTTGTTTTTCCATTGTTGATTAGCAAGATTTTGGTCAAGAAAGGAGTTGAAGTTGATGATGAATATCGCTTCAACAATGAAGACAATGTTATTGATGTGAATTGTTTAAGTCATTTGGGTTTAAGGAGGAGAGTTGTTACCAATGAGGTACATTGGTACAATGTGCAAAGAAGGACTTATGCACAAGGACTTGAACAATCACAAGGGACAAGACAACCATCCTTGGAAGTTGATGAAGAAAATTTCCAAGAACTTCCTATGAGAGAATTTCAACAACTTATGGTTCGAGAGATGAGGCAACATAGGAGTGAGATGAGAGCTTACATGGAGAGAATGGGGGATACCCTATGTGATTCCATGGGTCAAAGGAGACCAAGGAGAGGCCGATGATTCTTATCCTTAGGATGTCATATGTTATGAACTCTTTTATGTTTTGCATTTTTATCATGGCATTGCATGCATTTGTATTTGTATTTGTTCTATTTGGATCTTATGTAAGACTTATGTGTTTGAATGCTATGATTGATATGTTTAGATTAATTTGCTCAAGATTGGATGCATACTTTCTAAGTGAATTAACTCTTGCATGTGTTCAATTAATTGGATTACCCCATTTATTGTGATTTAATTGCTAGTAGTAAGTTTGCTTGATTTATTAAATTGTGTCGACACTTTTTAGATCGAGTCTTACTTGTGCACTTCATTTTTCCAAAAGTTTTCAAAACAACATGTTTTGAAATTTTTTGTCAAAATACTAGCACATCACACATTGAGGACAATGTGTCTTTTAAGTGTGCGGGGAAGAAGTAGTCTATTTTCAAGATCCTATTTTCTTTTCTATCTTATTGATTAGAGACAAATTTTTCAAAATTTTTGAAGAAAATTAAAAATTGTTTTGTATCTCTATTAAATTTTGGTTTAATTCCCATGAGTATAGTCTTTTATAATATTAATTAGTTTGAATACATTGAAAATATTTTTCAAATTTTCTTATGTATAATTTCATTCTTAGATTGAGAAGTGTAATTAATAAGGTTTTTCATACCCAAAAATGGTTTGACAAGTGCATTACTTCTAGAACTTGTGTTGAATCTTGTGTACATTTATAGAAGTATGTCATGGATATGTCAAAGACTAAGTGTGGGGGTATGAAGGGTAGCTTAAATCTTTTAAAAGAAGTGTTTTCATGTTAAGAGGAGAAGAGATATCTTCTTGCTTAAAAAAATTAAATAAAAAATATTAATTAATCCATTGTTGTCACTCTTTTCTTTAACAAAAGGAGTTAGTAACCCTTGGAAAAAGGATAAGAGGCATGGAAAGCGGAAATATTGTCCCTCTTGTAAAAATGAGTGTTAGTAACCTCAAATAAAGGGAGTTAGTAGCCCCAATTCATGGACACTTCTAAGGTTAGTAACCTTGCTTAGAAATTTTGGGCTATTTCTTTTAAAACCCATCTTAATTTTTGAATAATATCCATGATATTACTTTCTCTTTGGAAATTGATGAAAATGCAAGCTTATGGTAAGTTTTCCTTGTCAAATTTATCCAAGGTATGTTGATCTTAGAACATACATTATTGATTGGAGTGATTTTGTGCATAGTTGATTTGAACTTTATGGTCTTTGTATTTTCACTAACTTATATTGCATTTGACTAGAAAATGAAGATTAAATTCTTAATTTGTTAGAAGTACTTTGTTTTCTAAAGTTTGATGTCTCTAGTTAATGTTACATAATGTTTGTGGGTATCGTTCTAGTTAAGTAAACCCTCAAGAGACTATAATTCCTCCTTTATAGACGTATAGAGGTTTAAAGGCTTGCGTCACATGCTAAGTGCCGCCGTACACCTATGAAAGTGGAATCAATATGTTGCTTAGTTTAGTCACTAACCTTTTTGTTTTCTTAGGATTAACCTTAGTTTGCTAGGGACTAGCAAAGCTTAAGTGTGGGGAAAATATGATCGGACCAAAATTATGCATCTTTTTATGGTCATTTTCCTATGCTTTTAGGGTATTTTATGCTTGATTATGCCTTATATTTGGTATATTTGTGTTTATAGGTGTTAAAGTGAAGAAAAGTGCAAAATCACCATTTTTGTACCTTTTTGGAGCCTTTTTGGATGATTATTCGCACAAATATTTTCCAAGGGTAATTTGGATGAAGAATGGAGCCAATATATTCGTGATTGACGAGCTTGAAGAGTCAATTCTATCATCATAAGATTGATTTTCAAGAGTTTGAAGCAAAGGAGCAAAGTTGAATTTCAAGGCAAGAAAACATGTCAAGATGTGTCAAAGCACTGGAATACATGGGTCGCGAGGCAAACCACATGGGGCGCCAAGCATAGCACATGGGCGCCCAGCGCTAGTCGAGACATGCCACCAACAAGCACATGGGCACTGGCAGCATGGGGGCTGAGAGCAACGCCCTGGGCGCACAAGCCATCTACATTGGCGTCCAGGGGGAGTCGGGATGCAGCCATGCGTGCGCCAAGCATGCCATCATGCGTGTCTTCACCTTGAAGCCTCTTCACTTGTTTCCAGATTTGGCGACTTTTCTGTATTTTAGCCATAACTTTTGATCCAGAGCTCCGTTTGAGACGTATGAGTAGTCGTTGGAAAGCTAACTCCAAGATCTACAACTTTTGTGTTTCGGTCGAAGCCCAGTTCGAATGTTTACGTGGACAAAAATGCCCCTGAAGTCAGCGGACAGAAACTGTCTTGGGCCTTTTATGCGGGATTGATCCAATTAAGCCCAAATTCTTATTTGGACTAGCTTGAAGACTTGAAGAGCAGCCCAGCACGTCCTTAGGGTTTGTTTAAACTCTAAATTAGCCCTAAACCACCTCTATAAATACCCTCTTAAGTCTAGAACCCTAAGGAACCTCTCATAATACTTTTCTACATAATTTGCCCTAGTTTTCTAGGTCTAGTTAAGTCAAGGAGAGGGAGGAGGCAGCCGGCCTCCAAGTATTGTAAGTCTCTCATGGATTGCTTGCAATCCATGAGTAGCTAAACCTTTTATACTTATTTTCCTTAGGTACTTTTGATCAATGAATTATTGGTGAGACTTTTGTTCTTAATAATTTCAGCTTTTTTTGTTTAAATACGTTTCTTATCTCTATGCTTCATCTTATGTGTTCATACTTTGATTCATTTGGTGTACAACATATCTTGAGATTTATGAATGCTATAGTTAGATTCAAGTAGCTTGAGTCAAGCTAAAGTTGGTCCAAGTAACAATTGTAATTCTAGGAGTCCTAGGTTCAATGGGATATCAAACCTTGTCGAAATCTTTAGGCCGAGATGGAAATTGACGTAGGCAAGTTTGGTATTGATTTATCATGCATGTGGAAAAGTAAATCTTAATGTCTATCCTATGATTCTTCGCAGGGTGAATGTTTGATTAGGAACAATAGAGATTAATCGTCAGCGAGATGCGGGTTAATTCTTCTTAGCATGTTGGAGGGTCGAGTATTCCTCTCCTATACCAATTATTTAAATGGAGTTGTTTAAGATATTAAGAGGATTACTTTGTTTCAATGAAAGTTGATGTCTACGTCTTAGGCTATATACCGATTTGGAGTGATTTATGATTCTTAATTGATTGCAATCTAAGCCAAATTTATGTTTAATGTCTATGATCCATGATTCACTTGATCAAAGTAGTTGCCTAAAGGAGAAGAAGTATGCTTTTATTCATTGTTTTTACTAAACTCTATTTTAAATCTTTAGTTTAGATTTCTTTTAATTGTTTTCTAGTTTAATTAATCTATTTTGAAAAATCCAAAAATATCTTTTCTAGGTTAGAATTTCTTCTGTAAGATTTAACTTTGATTCATACCTTCCCTGTGGATTCGACCCCTACTTACCCTAGCTAAGTAGTTTATCATTTTGTTAATTGGTTTGTGGGGAATTTATCTTGTGATTTAATCAACGACCGATCATACACATAATCTAGACTCTTTAAACAAAAATCCATCATGCTTATAATACTTTCCAAATCTAGAATTTTCACATTCTTTAAAGATTTCACCAAAGTAAACATCACTAGCATATAATTCCTTAATATACTCAAATCCTAGAAACTTAGAATCAAGCATGGAAAGTAATATATACCTCCTTGACAAAGCATCGGCTACAACATTCTCCTTACCTTGTTTGTATCGCACAACATAAGGAAAGCTCTCTATGAACTCACTCCACTTAGCATGTCTCTTGTCCAACTTTTGTTGGCCTCTTAAATACTTTAAGCTCTCATGATCCGTATGAATCACAAATTCCTTAGGCCATAGGTAGTGTTGCCAAGTTTGCAACGCCCTCACCAGAGCATACAACTCTTTATCATAGGTTGGATAATTCAATGCAGGCCCATTCAATTTCTCACTAAAATATGCGACGGGCTTCCCACCTTGCATTAAATAGCTCCAATTCCAACCCCTGATGCATGACATTCAATCTCAAAAGTATTGTTAAAGTTAGGCAAAACAAGCAAAGGAGCATTAGTTAGTTTTTCCTTCAAGGACTCAAATGCTTCTTGTTGTTCTTTTCCCCACTTGAATGGTGCATTCTTCTTCATCACACTAGTAATAGGTGCGGCTAAGGTGCTAAAGTCCTTAACAAACCTCCTATAGAATCCGGCTAGTCTATGAAAAGATCTCACTTGACCAACGTTGGTGGGAGTTGGCCATTCTTTGATTGCTTTGATCTTCTCCTCATCAACTTCTATACCTTGCGTTGACACCACAAAACCAAGAAAAACAAGCTTGTTTGTGCAAAAGGTGCACTTCTTAAGGTTAGCATACAACTTCTCAACCCTAAGTACATCTAACACGCATCTTAGATGCCTAACATGCTCTTATAGGTTTCAGCTATACACAAGTATATCATCAAAATAAACAACAACAAACTTGCCAATAAAAGCTCTCAAAACATGATTCATTAACCTCATGAATGTACTAGGTGCATTAGTCAATCCAAAAGGCATAACTAACCATTCATACAACCCTAGCTTAGTTTTAAAGGCAGTTTTCCATTCATCACCCTCTTTCATGCGAATTTCATGATAGCCACTCTTTAAATCAATCTTTGAAAATAAACAAGCACCATGCAATTCATCAAGCAAATCATCTAATCTAGGAATAGGGTGACGATACTTTACCGTTATGTTGTTTATTGCCCTACAATCAACACACATTCTCCAAGTTCCATCCTTCTTAAGAACAAGCAAAACAGGAACTGCACATGGAGAAAGGCTTTCACGCACAAAATCCTTTTGTAGTAGCTCTCCAACTTGCTTCTCCAATTCCTTTGTTTCTTCAGGATTGTCCTATAAGCTGGCTTATTAGGTATTTACGCTTCAGGGATGAAGTCAATTTGATGTTCAATCCCCCTAATTGGTGGTAAACCGCTAGGAATCTCTTCAAGAAACACATCTACATAATCACTCAAAAGAGAAACAATGTTGCTTGGAAGCTCTCTTTTCAAGTTTTTAGTAGCAAGTGTATTTTTAAGAAAAAGCAAGATTAAAACAGAATTATCATTCAAAGCTTCTTTAATCTCACTCTTAGTAGCTAACATACACTCCTTAACAACTTTCATACAACTAGCATGCTTATCAACCAAATCAGATTTGCCTTCAATGCAATTCACATTCAAATTAGCATGTTTAGCCTTTTCTTTAGCCCTATAATCGGATTCTATCTTAGCAAACTCATCTCTCACTTTAATTTGATCTTTTAAAGCTTCTTGAGGTGATAAAGGAATCAAAGTAATAGGACGCTTACCACACATAAAGGAATACTTATTTGTCTCACCATCATGATGAACCTTGTTGTCATATTGCCATGGTCGACCAAGTAAGACATGGCATGCTTGCATTGGTAGCACATCACATAGCATCTCATCATTGTACCTGCCCAAAGAAAGAGAAACTAAAACTTGTTTGTTAACCTTAATTTCCTCTCTATCATTGAACCATCCTAAACTATAGGGTTAGGGGGTTTAGTGGTAGGTAACGCTAACTCCTTCACTAAGTAGACACTAGCTATGTTTGTACAACTCCCTCCATCAATGATCATACTACTAGGCTTCCTATTCGCATACATCCTAGTATGAAACAAATTCTCCCTTTGATTGTTCACATCTCCTTTAACATAGGCACTTAAAGTTCTTCTTGCAACTAAGTTCAAGAGTGACGGTGTATCACCATCATCATCCTTATCATCATGCGCAAATCCCCTCTCATCACCTCCATCACCACTAAAACCTAGGGCAAATTCTTCATCTTCACTTTCGATTTCTCCTTGATCATTCAAAAACATCACTTTCTTGTTAACATAATCCTTAGCATAATGACCAAATCCTTGACACTTAAAACACTTAACATGATTCTTAGAAGAAGAACTTGATGAAGATTTAGAATCGGATTTAGGGCTTCCCTTTTGCGCCAACTCCTTCTCCTTGTTGGATGATTTCTCATCTTTCTTGATTGGAGTTTTCCATGAGCTAGATGATGATGCAAAGCTCTTTTTTGCGCCATTCCTTTTCACTTGACTCTCGGACTTCAATACATGTTGAAGCAACTCTTCAACATCATAGTGTTGTTGCATCTCCACAATATCATGAATTTCTCTATTCAACCCCGCCAAAAACCTAGCCATAGTGGCTTGTGGAGCTTCATCAACCTTGGCCCTAGAGATCAACAACATCATCTCGGATTAGTACTCATCAACACTCCTTGTTCCTTGCCTTAAAGATTGCAAACTTTGATAAAGAGAATTGGTATAGTAGCTTGGAACGAATCTCTTTCTCATTAAACTTTTCAACGCCAACCAAGTATCAATAGGTCTCTTTAAATTTCTTCTCCTTGATTGAACCAATTGATTCCACCAATTCAAAGCATTCTCCGTAAATTCAAGAGTAGCAATTTGCACCTTCTTAGGCTCGACATGAGGATAATAATCAAAATACATATCCAATTTTGTCTCCCACTCCAAGTAATCCGATGGTGACCCTCTCCCATTGAATTTAGGGATTTTGTACTTGATGTTGTCTTTAGGCTCTTCTCTTTCAACTCCCCTCCTAGGCCGCATGTTCTCATTGTGAGCTTGTCCACCAAGTTCTTGTTGCCTCAATCTCTCCATGGGATCCAACCTAGCAACTTGCCTCGGTGGTGGAAGTTGAATTCTCTCATCGTTGATTGCGACATTGGCTCTTTGTTGAGCTTATTGATTTCGAGTTTCTAATGCCTCCAATCTCGTTGTCATGGTACCAAGTTGTTGTATGATTTGTTGCAACATGGCATTCGTATTTACTTCTTTATTTTGCTCTTCTTTTCTATCTCCCATTGTACCTACAAAAGAACAAAGATTAGTAGTAAAAATTCCTCACAAGTGTGTGTGTGTGTGTGTATACCTTGATTTGTGCTCTCGTGTTTGCAGCCAATTCCTATGGATTGGCGGTCCACTACTCTCTTGATGATCTCACAAGATTACGCATTTTACTAGCTTCAATAGGCCTAATAAGAGCAACTCCTAGAGAACTCCTTTCTTCTCGTGACCTACTTGAGGAACAAACAATTAATAGCAAAATTCTTTGTGAATCAAAGGAAAGTGATCAAAAACCAAAACCAAACCACTTATGCAGGCCTTGTATGTCGAATTCCTTCTCCAAACTTGCTGCACAAAAACTCAATTCAAGCACAATTCAAACAATTCAATCAATTAGAAAACCCTAGTACCACTTAAATCCAATTTTGTACCACTTGTCTCCAATAGGGTTTCAAACCTGAAATTCTTCAAATTAAATCTCAATTCACAGCAAAAGCAACCAAAGGGTCTCAATCACACAATCAATTAGGGTTAATTCCAACAAATTGAATCAATTGCACAAGATAAACCCTAATTCCCAAATAACCTAGATTAAACCCTAGAACCCAAAATTGTGATTAGAGCTACATATATTTTTTTATTTTTTTCAATATTTTCCCAGAAATATCACACTAAAAGAAGTCTAAAGCTCAAATTTCACAGCTTTCCGAGCTCAAACGAATCCGGAACAAAAATCACAAGTTTCTGGTCGAAAAATTTTTTTAAATATTTTTTTATATATTTTTCGATATAACTACTAGTTATAAGGACCTCAAACCTGAAATTTCAAAGCAAACAGAGTTAAGATAAATCCGCTATGATTTTTCAAAGATTCTGATTTTTTTGAACTTTCCAAGAAGATGAATAAGACAGATGAAAAACTTGATGATAGATGAATAGAAGGATAGAGTTACCGATTGAAGATGACAAGCTATGCTCTGATTACCTATTAATACGAATCTAGTTGTATTAGATTCAAATCTACCCTTTGAATAGCCACCAAAGTCGACTTGAAGTTCCTCCACTCCTTGATCAATCGATTGAACAATCTTCACAAAGTTTAATCCCTTCGTTCGTCGCCCTAAGTATCCAATTAGACCTGCAATTGAACTCTTAAGATCACAAGATTCACAAACAATTAAGCAATCACAACCTAATTGTTTGCTAGGACTCTACAAGATTGAAGAACCCTAAGTTTGCTCAAACTAGAACAATGAAGCCAAATAATCGATATGGGTGAATAAACCTCTCAATTTTATTGATAACTTGACTTGTGTTTACAAGAGGGGGTTGATGCCTTTATATAGGCAAAGATAACGCAAAACCCTCCTAATCCTAAAGCCATAAGGGCGGCATAAACATAAAGGAACGATCAAGGAAATTGCCTACTCCTTGTACTACTAGGAAAAGTAAATAACATTACATAATTAAGCAAGGATTGGACTTAGTCAAACAAAGTCCAACCCAATGTCTTCTAAACTATTTAAATAACTAATCTAAGATAGAATAAAGGCCCAATTGGCCGAATTACACAATGATAACTCTAATGCTCAACGATTTCAAGCAAAGTGCATGGCTTAGAATCGTTGGGAATATTCCATGGCTTGATGTCTTCAATGCTCTCCAATTGATCTTCAATGGACTTCAAACCTCCAAGATGAGTTCGTACCAAGCCTAATAAAGCTTCCTTGAACCTTTTAGTCTGAGCCCTTGTCATAGGACCTAGTGGGATTGCTAAAGGATCAAATGGCTGGTTGTGCCCGGTCATGTGCGATTGCTCCATGCCATGGCCGGTCATGTGCCCAGTCTTGTGCAATTGCTCCATGCAATGGCCGGCCATGTGGGATCCCATCATCTCCATGCTCCTCCAAGCTTCCTTTCAAGCCGGGATCAATCGTAGCAGCTTCTTGAATATCCGAGGCATCTCCTTGTTTATCCGTAGCATGATCTTCATTAGTTTCATTGTGCTCTTCAAGACCATGATAAACCCTTGGCGCATCAGTGTGTGTTTAGAAATGTGTTTGCGTCTTATGATGAGCTCGGAAGGCATTTTTTGCAGAATGAAATTATTATCTTTAGAGGCAGTTGATTCTTAAAAGGTTTTTGTTGCATTAGTGAAGGCGGAATAGATAGTTGCTGCAACTCTAAATTTACAAGGCCTTTTTATCGTGGATTCTTTTTTGTAGAGGGGCAAACAGTGAAGCTGATGTTTGTGCAAACAGTGGTTTTGAGTGTGCAGTACCTTTTTTGCAACTTTGTTTTGATGTTGTTTTTTGTGATTTTGGCCCTCTTTTGTTGTTGATTAGTGTAGGCCGTCTGACTAGCTTGATTCCTTTTTCTTTCTGCTATTTTCTTTGGTTAATAAAATTAATTGATATAGTGGATTTTGGTATAGTGGATTCCACTAGCATCAGATTACTCCATATACTCACATTCACTGTGTTGTCTTGCTCTTTTATAAGCTCCAAAATCTCCCCCGAATTAGCATTGGATGAGAGTAATTCTATTGCACTTTTCTCAAGCCATAACATATCTTCATCAGGGATGTCGAATGCCAAATCAACTTCTTCAAACGATACATATCCATACTCCAACTCTAGTAGATACTTATCAGAGCTCTGCCCATTCTCCTCCTTATCCTTACCATCATTCAACACAATTAATGGGGGAACATCGATGACCTCTGGTTGTTTTCTGACATTAATCGTAACTTCATGTAAATTTTCCTCCTTACTATTAGATGGCTTCGAACCAGGTTGCGCGATTCTCTTCCTCTTCCATATTCTGCCACGATCCTGAACAGAATAATTATTCTGTCAACTTCTGAACATGTTTCCAATCTCCTTGAGTCGATCATTACCGTAAACACTCCTTCCTCTGTCCTCAGGTCTGAATCTATACATCTTCTATCATATTGAATAAAACTTCTACCGGTATACACTCTGGCCTGTTGGCCCCTATCAATTATCCTTGCAGAGGCTTTTCTCACAATCAAAGACTGACCATCTAACCTTCTCCCATTACCAAAAGAGATAGCCTTTTGTGATTCTTCATAGAAACGATATCTAACAAAAGCAAAATTTGCAAAACCATACCTTCTTCTATTCAGCATAGACACATCGACCACCACACCATATTCATTGAACAAATCCCATATTTCTCTTCTAGGAACTTTATTATCAATATTACTAACACACACTGTATGAAGACTTAATCTCCACCGGAACGACTCCCTACTCTGCCGCCGCTCATGTCAAGAAGAAATCTAAGGAACTTCTCTCCTTTCTCTCCTAGCTCTCTCCATAGTATACTAAGTATTTTTTTTCCCCTTGGAGCACACCACCTTTTCTTACTCAGATCAGATCCCAATCAAGCCGCCATAAAGAAAACCCTCATGCACTACCATAGGGAATTTTTGAAAGCTACCCACATTATTGAACCCACTTTATTGACCGAAATACACTTTGGTTTGTTTATTGCTTGCTTGTTTGGTTGGTAGATCTTAGTTTGGGTTGATTTCTCATTGGATATTTGGGCATATAGAGATTTATTCTGATTGTGTTTATACCTTAATTCACCCTTGAGGGTAAATATATCTTTGACCTTGCAAGATTAAGGTGTGTGGCTCAGATTCAATCTAAAAACCTTAGCTTAGCAGGATTTAGTGCCACCTTAATTCCAAGTTATATATGAAAATGATTTATTTTCCTATTTTTTCCTATTATTGGGCTGAATTTTAGGAAGTAATTGTTAAGGATCATTCAAAGCCAAACTCTCATTCAAAGTTAGTCAAGACAGTTCTCCATTCAAAACTAGTCAAAACAATTTCCCATTCAAAGTTAGTTCCCTAGAATTGATTCATTCAATGCTAGTTTGATTCAATATTGTAATTACTTTACAGCACAACTCTACTTGTATAAATATACTCATTGTAACACAACAATACCATGAATGAAAATCTCATTTCCCTCATTCATCAAAACACTCATATCTCTATATGGTATCATACTTTCTTTTGCCTTAACCGGCTTTTCGATCCTGGTTTCTTTGTTATCATGGCTACTAATGCTACTGTTCCCACTACTCAACCCTCCCCAATTGCTCTCAACACAGCTGCCCAACTACCCTTGAAATTGACATCCACCAATTTCACCTCTTGACGCGCACAATTTGATTCCCTACTTATTGCCTTCGACCTTTTTAGCTACATCGATGGTTCTCTTCCTTCTCCTCCCCCTGAAATTGAAAGGGATGACAACAAATTCGCAATCCTGCCTACAGTTTTTGGCTTCGCCAAGATAAGCTAATACTTCATGCTATTTTGACATCTTCCTCCGAATCTGTTTTGCCTTTGATTGTTGCTTCCAAAACCTCTTGTGAAGCATGAACGACTCTAACCAAGATGTATGCCAGTTGCTCTCGCTCTCGTGTCATGGATTTGAAAAACAATCTCACATGCGCAAAGCGTGGGAATAAGCTTGTTGCTGAGTATATACAACAAATGAAGCATATTGCTGATGAGATCCGCTTGGCTGGATCCACGATTGATGAGGACGATCTTGTTCTTTACATTCTTAATGGTCTAGGCAGTGACTATAAAGAAATTTCAACAGTAGTCCGAGCAAGGGAGACTCCCATCATTTTTGATGAGTTACATGAAAAGTTACTTGCATTTGAGATGCATTTGAAACAGGATGTGGCTCAAGAAACCAATACAGTTTCTCTACCTACTGCTAATTATACACGACGGTATTCTAGCAACCAAAATGGCGAAATAATGGTCCACGGCCTCGCAATGGTAATTACAATAGGTTTTCTGATAAGAAAACAAATGGTGATTCTGTCAATCGCCCTTCCTGCCAGTTATGTGAAAAAGTTGGTCACACTGCTCGACAGTGTCGAAAAAGCATGCAATTTTTTACCTCTCAGCCAAAAGCAAATTATGCTCACTCTGCTCGCACTAACAAAAGCTGGTGTATGGACTCTGGGGCATCTCATCATGTTACTGCTGAGTTGAAGGATCTTTCAATCAATTCAGATTATGATGGCACTGATGAAATGGTTGTTGGCAACGGTTCAGGTTTGAAAATCACACATTCAGGCACCACCTCTCTTAATTCTCCTACCGCTTCTTTCTCCTTAAATGATGTCCTGTGTGTTCCAGAAATTACACAAAATCTTGTTTCTGTCTCAAGTTTTGTAAAGCTAACAGTGTGTGAGTTGAATTTGATGCTGAATGTTTTCTTGTGAAGGACTTGCAGACTCGGAAGGTGCTCAATAAGGGATTAAATGTTGACGATGTCTACCAGTTTCCATCCAATTTTCATGTTCAGCATCCATCTTCTTCTAGTCCTACACCAAAATACTACTACACAGTCCGTACCTCCACCTTTGATTGGCACAAGCATTTGGGTCATCCTTCTCGATCCATTTTAAATCGTATTGTCAATGGTTTTTCTCTTCCTTCATCTAATGTTAATTTTTCATCTTGTAATTCTTGCCAATGCAATAAAAGTCATAAGCAGCCATTTTCAGTATCCACATTGTCTAGTACTCGACCACTTGAGTTAGTTTATACTGATCTTTGGGGTCCTGCACCCACACAATCAATTGATGGTTATTCATACTATGTGATCTTTGTTGACCATTATTCTAAATATGTCTGGTTTTTTGCTCTCAAAAAGAAATCTGATCTTTTTTCTTTGTTTCCAAAGTTCAAGGCTGTAGTGGAGAAATTTTTTAGTGCCAATATTATCTCAATTTATTCTGATGGGGGTGGTGAGAATGAAAAGCTCAAACAATTTTTACAACCTCATGGAATTTCTCATTTACAGACTCCCCCACATACTCCTGAACACAATGGTATAGCTGAAAGACGACATCGCCATGTTGTCGAAACTGGTCTTACCTTAATGCATCAAGCTTCTCTTCCCACTGAGTTTTGGTCTTTGGCATTCAAAACAGCAGTCTATCTTGTCAATCGCATGCCTACTCCTATTCTTGATCTTCAGTCACCCTTTCAGGTCTTATTTCAACGTGATCCTCATTATGAAAAGTTAAGGGTATTTGGTTCTTTATGCTATCCAAACCTACGCCCTTATATGAAAAACAAACTTGCGTGTCGGTCCAAGCCTTGTGTTTTTGTAGGATACTCAGATAATCAAAGTGCTTATCGTTGTTTTGATCCTGAATCCAAAAAGATTTACACTTCCAGGCATGTTGCATTTAATGAGACCAAGTTTCCTTACTCTGTGCTGCCATCAAACTCAGGTACTTTTTTGAACTCTACTGAGTTTCTTTCATGTCCTACGCTACATATACTCAATTCACCTTCAGTTGGTCACTCTTCATCATCTATGCCAATGTTTAATCCTGAAGTTCTGGCATCTCCAGTCTCCACTACTCCTTCAAATGAGGTAAACACATCTTCCTCAAACATTGTTTCCATACCTACTGCCACTAATGTTTCCTCTTCAGTGCGACTAATTCCACAGGAAAATCATTTTGATTCTCTGGCCACTCATGGTTCCTTAGTGCCACTAGCTCCACTGACCTCTTCAGTGCCAACAATTCCATAGAATAGTCGCACTCATCCCATGATAACTCACTCTCGCAACAATATCTTCAAACCGAAACAGATCCATCACACAACCAAACATCCAGCACTCATGACGCCTGAACCAACATGTGTCTCGCAAGCCTTGAAAGATTCTCACTGTCGGCAGGCCATGTCTGAAGAGTTTAATGCTCTTGTTAAAAATGGAACCTGGCACTTGGTTCCTTCTACTGATGCTCAGAATCTAGTTGGATGTAAGTTGGTTTTTCGGATCAAACGAAGTCCTGATGGCACTATCTCTTGGTACAAGGCTAGATTGGTCGCAAAAGGATTCAATCAAAGGCTTGGCCTGGATTATCACGAGACATTCAGCCCTGTTGTCAAGTCTACAACCATTAGGCTGGTTCTAACTATTGTTTTGCAAAACAAATGGCCTCTTTTTCACCTTGATGTCAATAATGCCTTCCTCCATGGGCAGTTATCTGAAGATGTGTATATGAACCAACCTCCGGGCTTTATTGACTCTACGTATCCTGATTATGTTTGCAAGTTGGATAAGGCAATTTATGGTTTGAAGCAAGCTCTGCGTACCTGGTACAACACGCTAAAAACCTTTCTTCTTGCTTATGGCTTCTCTCAGTCTAAGTTTGATTCTTCTCTATTTATTTATCATCATGATGGCATTACTCTCTACTTCCTAGTGTATGTGGATGACATTATTGTTTCTGGAAGTTCTTCCACTACTATTACTGATTTTGTTGAAGAATTGTCAAGACAGTTCTCTCTCAAAGAAATGGTGCCACTAAATTTCTTTCTTGGTGTTGAGACGATTCCCACAGGTGGTGGTCTATTTCTCTCGCAACAAAAATATGTGCTTGACTTACTAGAGAGAACTAAAATGCTTGACTGCAAGCCTGTCTCCACGCCCATGTGTTCTTCCTCCTCTCTTAGTCTTACTGATGGTACTGCTCTCCCTAGTGCCACTAAATACAGAAGTATAGTAGGTGCACTACAGTACTTGACCATCACCAAGCCTGATATCTCTTTTTCTGTCAACAAGTTGGCTCAATTTATGCATCAACCAATTGATGTTCATTGGCAGGCCTTGAAGAGAGTTTTACGGTACTTAAAATGTTCAACTACTCATGGCCTCATGCTTAATATAGTGCCCTCATCAGAAAATTCCATGGTTGCCTACACTGATACAGACTGTGCTGGCGACAAAGGAGATTGCAAATCCACCTCTGCTTTCCTCATCTACTATGGTGGGAATTCGATTTCTTGGAAAAGCTCCAAACAAAAAATAGTTGCTCGGTCCTCATCTGAAGCTGAATATCGTTCTATTGCTGGTGCTGCAGCTGAAATAGCGTGGATTCAGAATCTTCTATCTGAACTGCACCTTCCACTTACCCAAGCTCCAACAATTTATTGTGACAACATTGGTGCTACCTACGTTTCTGCTAATCCTGCTTTGCACTCCAAGATGAAACACATTGCCATTGATTTCCATTTTGTACGTGATAAGGTTGCAAATGGTTGTCTCAAAGTTCTTCACG